GAGTGCGGCCGAGGGGTGGGACCAGCGGCGCAGTTATAAGAGCTGGCGAGGCGGGTGGGGGTAGGATCCTGCCCAGGATGTCTGCGAGTCTGGAGAGCCGGTGAGTGTGTGCGCGCGCGCCACTCGGCTAGGCCTCACTCCACTAGGCCACACCACGGCCCCGCGGGGAGGGACGCACCAAGCGACTGTCACCGCGTTCTATTCTTGGCGCGCGCGGCGTAGCCATTCTGGGGGCGGGGATGTGGGAGAATCTATTACAGGAAGGAGCCTTCCACGCCATGGGTGGTGCCATCTGCTTTAGTGGGGGTCATGAGCCCATTCTAGAAAAGTAGAAGCCTCGTCTGTATGGAACGGAGGGATCTAGAAAGTCGGGAGGGGTGGAAGGGTGAGTCCATTTCACCCACAGGGGGCGCGGACGGAACCAACCTGCGAGGGGTAGGGACGAATGCTTGACATTGTTGCCTATTGGGAGGCGGTAGGACAGATCCATCCCCCGCCCGAGAAGAGGGAGCGCGATGCCATTTTGAGACGGTGGGAAATCCGGCAGGCGGCCTATTCCCGGGGGGAGCCATCTCATTCTGCAGTGGGGCGGAATCTAGAGCCTGGGCGAGTCCATTATAATACTTTCGGGGAGGCCTACGTTTTCGTGCGCCCCTGGGTGGGACGCGGATCGGTTTCTCCCGGGCGGATCCATGCGCGCGGGGGCTAGGGACCGCCAATGGACGAGTCCATTCCGTGATCTCCCTTTCCGGCGGAGCCTATTCTCTGCCTGAGTTGGGGGGAGCAATGGACGAGTCCATCTTTTCCCCGTGGTGGGGGGCGGGAGAAGAGACCGCTGGGAGAGCCCATTGTCCTTGGGTGGGACGCGGATCGGTTTCTCCCGGGCGGATCCATGCGCGCGGGGGCTAGGGACCGCCAATGGACGAGTCCATTCCGTGATCTCCCTTTCCGGCGGAGCCTATTCTCTGCCTGAGTTGGGGGGAGCAATGGACGAGTCCATCTTTTCCCCGTGGTGGGGGGCGGGAGAAGAGACCGCTGGGAGAGCCCATTGTCCTGATACTGCGCGCGGCATCCGGGGAACGCGGCGGTGACGTCAGACTAGCCCGCCAATGGTATGAGGTGGCGGGGGCGGGCCTTCCGATGCGAGAGCTGAGCCGCACG